CTAAGAACTCCACTGGTACATTGTCAAGGGTGTCACTGATGTCATTTTCCAGAAAGTTTATGTGCTCCATGTTGGGCTGCCTTTGGAAGCTGTTGAAATCCTTCAACTGGTCCAAAACAGGGCTGCGTGTCTGGTGTTGAGCATCAGTTCCTGAGCCCTTATAGCAGCTATTCTATATAAATTACACTGGTTGCCAGTTGAACCCTGGGCCCAATTTAAGGTGCTTGTTGTATCATATAAAGGTCTAAATGGCTTGAGACCTGGTTACTCGAAGGACCACTTCTTCTCATATATAGCTACTTGCCCATTGAGATCTGCACATGAGGTCCTTCCGAATGAGCCATCCCTAAAGGAAGTGAGAGGGATGGCGAGTAGAAGAAGGGCCTTTTCAGGAGCTGCCTCCTATCTTTGGAAGGGGCTTCCTAGATTGGTCCACCAGGCACCATCATTGCTTTCATTTTGGCACCAGGAGAAAATTGTGCTTTTCAGCAGGTATTTTCAAACCTGATCTTAGCAATTTGTCAGTAAGATTTTGTTCTGCTACCAGCAATTCTGCCCCTCCTGCCAAGAAATTGTAAGGTTCAATTCAATTGTGATTAAATTGGTCATGTATCTTGTGGTTTGCCACTGTTGGGTTATTCAGCAGCCTATAAAAATTATTAATAAATAAATACATAAACAAAATTTCCCACGCTATTCAAAGCTTGTATTTTGCAACAAGCTTGTATTTTGCAACATGAAAGTGCTCCCTATAGTGAGTTAGGCCATTGGCCTAAGATCTATTTTAAATTACAGTCACAATGCAAAGCTCGACAGAAGAAGTCTTTCCCAGCTGTGATGTTTGAGACACTTTCACTGGCGGTGCCCAAGTCTGAACTGAAGACCTTATGTGTGCAAAGCATGTGCTCTACCACTGAGTTACAGCTCCTCTGTCTATGCAGTTTGCTTTAAAACCACATGCCAGGAGAGGACATAGGACAGAAGGACCAACAGGGGCAGAATTTCTATGACTCAGCCGTTGGGAGTGATGAGTTGTGGCGGATCACAGCCGGTTCGGAATTCACACCTGGCAGATGGTTATCCTGCATTCTTGCCACGTTTTTTAAAAATGCCAAAGCACTGCTAATATGGTTATCTTATCCTCAAAAGGACTAAGAAAATCCAGATTCAAGTGGAATGAAATCTATGCTGTCAACACTGGTGTTTCGCTCCACTTCCCACCATGAAAGCTAGTAAAAATAGGAACGTAGGCTTTAATGGTGAGTCTTATTTATTAGCATGTTTCTGAGGAAAGGTTTTCTCAGAAAGGTGTGCCTTGCAGTTGGCTCTTAAAGACAGTCCAGCTTTGATCCAATATAATCTGGCAAGCAGATTGTTAGCTCGCTAGAGAATGCTCCAAATTCACATCTTGTCCTAAGCAAAAGCACTTTAGCCAAATGCAGCAGAGGGGAGAGAATTACAAACACAGTCCCCCTGGGGTCCCATTTTAATACACTGCAATATAGTCAAGAGGGTTCCCTGACTATACAAAGCTTGCTTTTCAGAAGGGCTGTTATGTCCGCGGATGGAACCAAGAGACATCTCATTGTTTCAATTAATTACGAAGCTGAGATAAGTGAAGCTGTGCAGCATATCACATTCCATTTAGCTTAAACATCTCCCTCAGCAATAGGGGAGGACACGTGCCAGTTCAGAACACAACACTGAAAAGAAGGCGCACTGGGAAAAAACAACCCAACGAAACTGAAGGAAAGTCAGTTCAAATGCTAATAAAATGTTGGGAAATATACAAGATTATGCATGGGCAGAGTTGTGAAACTTGGATGTGGAGCCACAGTAATGTTCAGAAATGTTTGGCTCCAAAGTGTTTTGCTTTTGTTTCCTCCTTTTTAGTTCACTGAGCTAGTCTGGATTCACATTTGGCCCCAAAGCTCTGGGAGCTGGAGGTGAAGTAATTCCACTTTCCACGCTTTCCTTCAGCTTTGGCTGATCCATCAGCTGCGTCCCTACCTGGAGAACGACTGCCTGGCAACAGTGACACATGCATTGGTCACTTCCCGATTAGATTTCTGTAACACGCTCTATGTGGGGCTGCCCTTGAAGACGATCCGGATACTTCAATTGGTGCAAAATAGAGCTGCCAGGCTGCTGAAGGGGACTGGGCATTGTTCTCATATAACCCCAGTCCTCCGTCAGCTCCACTGGCTTCCCATTGGAGTCCGGGCCCAATTCAAGGTGCTCGTTATCACTTACAAAGCCCTGAACGGCTTAGGCCCTGGTTACCCAAAGGAGCGCCTGCGTCCATATATGCCCTCCCACCCCCTGAGATCGGCAACAGAGGCCCTTCTCCGGGAACCCTCCATGAAGGATATTCAGAGGGTGAATACTTGGAGGAGGGCCTTCTCTGCAGTGGTGCCCAACTTATGGAATGCGCTCCCCAGAGGGGTCCACCTGGTGCTGTCCTTATTTGTTTTTCGGTGCCAGGCCAAGACCTTTTTATTTAAATGCTATTTTAACTATTAATGGTTTATTTGTTGGTTTAAATTGACCAGGCTGGATCCACTATTTTATTTTATTATTTTATTTTTTGTATTTTATTTATTTGATGAATTTTTTGTATTTTATATGGGATTTTAATTATTGTAAGATGCACCAAGGCTCATGCAATGGGGCGCCATATAAGTTGTTTAAATAAATAAATAAATAAATATTATTGTAAACATATAATGTGCTAAAGGAAAGCATTCCTTTCATGCTGAAGAACACAAGGATTGTCTGGCTGGAACAGATCATACTTTACCTGGTTCAGCCTTTGTTTTCCAACAATCAGTGGCTGAATGATTCTAGAAGCTCACATGTATATCATCATTTAAATGCCATCTTGAAATGCACATCCCCGTTATTGAATGGCATCACCTCTAGGAAAATGGACTCAAACTGGTTATGTTGGTCTCAGCTAAATCTGCACTGGAAGTGCTCCCTGGTTTTCATAACTCCATTCTCAGGCACTTAATGTTTGGGGGTATTTTGATGATTTGTGGGGAAGGGGAAAATTAAAAAAAAATCAGGCATGGGATATAGTGCCTTTAAAAATCATCCTGCTTTAATTTAATTCCTCTGCTGTTCCAACCAGCAACAGAGCTGCAGCAGTTGGTGGCTACTGTGCTTCCATTTCCCCCAGTACCATCTCTGGAATAATGCTATGTCATGATAAGGTTCCAGACCCTCACATGTTTCCCTGCACAGGGTTTCTGAACATCAAGACTCTGCATCATTCTGAGGAAAGCACTGTACAGGGAAATGTGACCCAATAAGCCAGTTATAGAGATTTTTTAAAAGAGGTACAATAAGTCTAAAATGTTAAAAAGCCAATTACTGCCAGTTGTAGCAGTAGAAAAATTGAACTGAAAAAGGGGGGAAATTAAAAAGACAGAGTTGTTGCTACTTTCTTGATAAGTTCTCCACACTTGAAGAGGAAAAACAAAAACTTCTTAAATCCCATAATCTTTCCCTTTTCAACTCACCACTGACAGTATTTTTCAGAAAGAAGGTCTGAAAAGCATTTGAGCAGAGCTTTTGTCTTTGCACGTGGCATTCATTTGCTAGAGCTGACATATGACCCAATACAGTTTGTAATCTTGTCCAGTCACTATGGAGATATGCCAGGATTTATTCTTTTGGGATTGCCAGATTGAAATTGCAAAATTAAGGATCACTGGGGATTTCCAGGAGAAGTTGATGGAGAACTTCTAGAACCAAGATTTTCTGAAAATAAAGGGCTCACAATTTCTTAAAGCAAGGGGGAAATTTCATGATTCTTTCACCTAATGGAAGTGTATAATTCCTTCCTCATGTAATCAAAGGCTTCTGTAATAAAGGATGGGAAATGACAAAAATGCTGCCTCTACTTCATATGGTAGAGGGAGACTGGCCCCACCAAGTTTGACGATGAACTTTAATGAAAGAAGAGCTCCACTTGAGGTGTCTAGACACAGACAGAACCAAGTAACAGCAGAATGTTCCATTCTAAGGAAAGTATGGAAAAGGCATGCCAGTAGCCCATGGGAGTAGGAGAAGCCACAACTCCTATGAGGCTCCTATGAGGCTCCTATGAGGCTCCAACTGGGTCTCTTCAGCCTGGAGAAGAGGAGACTCAGAGGGGATATGTTGGCGACATACAGGTATGTGAGGGGATGTCACACAGAGGTGGGTAGAGACCTGTTCTCCCCAGCAGAGGAAGGCAGGAGGCGCTCCAACGGAGCAAAGCTCAGGGAGCCAAGGTTCCATTTAGATGCCAGGAAGCACTTCCTGACAGCCAGGGCCCCGAGGGTGTGGAATGGGCTTCCACAGGAGGTTGTTGGCCCCATCGGTGTGGGTGTTCAAGGATAGGCTGGACTTCCACATGGTGGGCATGTCGTGAGCGGAGCTAGCTGGTGCCGGAGGTCAGAATAGATGGCCCAGGAGACCCCTTCTGACTCGCTCTGTTTTCTATGTTTCTATGTTCACAGAGGCCTGATGGAAACACTTTCAGTCTCTCAGACTGTGACTTCTGTGTCACATCCATAACATATAACATTGCTATCAAGGGCCTCACCACCATTTGATTAATCAGAGCTGCAATGCTTCCCCTGTTACAGAGTTGCAAAACTAATATTCTTTCAAAGTAATTCTAAACTGAGAAATTATTCAGATGTTGAGAAACCCTGTATCAAAAGCCAAAACAATGCATTGGAAGATTTACTTTTCCGGGATGTTTCAACAGAACTAACCAACATGAGCTATCAAGCACAATGTGGCCAGGGGAGTGGAGAAATGGTTTACCATTGAACTAGTGCACAACAAAGATTTAAGATACTCTGGAAATGGATGTACGTTGAACAATGCCTGGAGAAACAAATACCACAAAAAAGAGTGGACAAGGAAGTGAATAAAACGATGGAGACACAGAAAAGCAAAATCCACAGAATGAAAACAAAGTTAGTAAAGAATGCTGTCCTTACCTGGCACACGCCGCTAATGCACATATCTAGTGATTCAGTGTAACATCGGGTCCCATCCAGGACTTTGGGCGCCAGCTCCACCACAAGGCTTGTCCCCTTGGCCTGGCACTTCAATGAGCACGGATTGTCAGGATCATTTGAAACAGGAAGCCATTCGTAAAACTGCCCTTGATACTTGACGTCATTGTGTGCCGAACACTGCTGTGTGCGGAAATCACCTGCTTCTGGAGGACAATCCTAAGAAGAGAGAGAACAGGTGGTCACTTCAGGTGGTCATCCCAAATGTCTCATAATTATATTCTCATTGCAGGCCTCTATACTGAGACTGCAATATATAATAGGCTTAGATGTAGACAGGAAGCAGACAATAATTTCAAGAAAGTTGGAAGTGGCTCGAGAAAGGCATCGTTTCACATACTGCATGCCTTCTCGCACAGTGTGTGTGTGAAACAATGCTGTGTTCTTTTGTCCTCCTTTTGTCCTTCTTTTGACACTGTTCATACGGGTTTTGCAGGTTTAAAAAGCATTGCAAAGATCTGCAAAAGCTGTTTACCAGAGGCAACAATGCACACCACAAAGAGTTACCTCTTCTTCAAGCTGCTTGCAACATCTGGGGCTGGGGAATGTGTGTGCCAGGCTCCATCCAGAGGCAAATGGATCAGTCGAAATATCTCATACCATTTTCATTAGAAATTCTCAACTAAATATTATTGAAGGGTAACTGGAAGAGGACTGAAATACATCAACACCATGTGTTCCAGCACAAGAAACGGATTTGTTTGGTGCTCTTACAAAACTGCCTGTTGTTCAGCATTTCTTTTACGATGACTGAGAAACACACATACAGGCTGAGCCAACTTTTCTTTTTCCTTTAAAAAGGGGAAAGCGGGGGGGGGGGGTCAAGAAAATTGCTTGATTCAAGTGTTTGTTTATTTAAGCATTCTTTGCTAGCATTTCTTTCCAAAACGACCTAAATCAGTCAGTGAAGCAACATGAACCAGAAAAATGCTTTGTATATTTGTATTACTTCAACCTGCCTAATGCAAGCAGAGACTTTACAATCCACAGAATCAGCAACTCTTCTTTTTTATGCTTTTCAAGCCCTTTAAAAAATTCTCATTGTTAATTGCCTGTGGGAGGTTTCAGAGTAGTTTTTGCATGCAAACCTAAGTCTCTAATTTGTGATAAACTAAATGCAACTAAAATGCTTTAGCTCCTAATATTAAGAAAGACCACCAAGATATTTTTGGGAGTGCTCTTAAGGGAGACAGTCTTCATTAAAGAATCACAGAAAACATTTTTAACCAGCTTTCAGTAGTCTTGAATACTAATGTGTTCCCCAAACAGCTTATATAACCATTTTATTTGGTCAAACTTTAAACACATCAGTTATTGCCAGTTAATACAGTCTCTGACTGCTGATATTCTGAAAGCCTTTGACAGAACCATTACTACCCATCCTATTCATGCTTTTGCAGAAGTAAGTCCCACTGAGTTTAATGTGATATAATTCCAGGTTAAAACTAGATGTTACAAAAATATATAGTATTACAGCCTTATTTACCTATCTTGTCTTTACAGTAAGCCCTATTGGTGATGCGTTCAACCTTCTAACATTTACATGGTTTAAAATTGCTTCCTGCAATTTAGCTATAAATCAGTTTAAACCACTTACTCTTTACTTCTTCACTGGCAATTGAAAATAATCTTCTTGCGTCTCCGCTGCCTAATAGTTATGATTGCTACATTTTTAGCATAAAACTCACCATTTCTTTATTTATGGGTTATATTAAAATCGCCCGTGTGGTTAGCCGCTAGCAAGTAACAGTCTCTTCGAGTATCAGCATCTTGCTTGACCTCACTCCTCAGGCTGCCCCTGGGACACATGCAAACAGGCTGGTGGGCAGTAACATTACTGGGCTAGCCAGCATTCCTCTCACCACCCATTTATCTGTAGAGCTCTGTTCCACAGTTTGGGTTTCTTCTCTCTACCCAGTAACGATCAGAAATAAAAAACTTTAGCACAGCCTTACCCAGTGTGGTGCTTTCCAGATGTTTTTGGCCTACAACTCTTTTCATCCCTGGCCGTTTGCTGAGGCTGACAGGATTTTTGCTTTTAGGCATTCGGAGCATGTTGTGTAGGAGAAGGCTATTCTATTAGCTACATGGACCTCATCTCTTGGTTCCAAGAGCCAAAGCCACCCGCACACAGCACTAGGGCTGACCAGGCAGGGCTGCCTTCCATGGACTCTGACCAGTGGGGCCTTGAGTTGGCTCAGTCATGCCTACTTGGATGGGCACCAACCCTCCAAGTACTCCGCTCCTGCTCCTGGAGATCATCTTAACTCAAAGCACCACATGGCTAGCTAGTATACAAATGTTAGAACAAATCAACTAACAAACAGCAATGTAAAAACAGGATAAGACAAAATGATGTAGCGGCACCCAGGAACATCCATCCCCAAAACACAAGACCAGGAAACTTGGAAAAATAAGCGTATTGGGGAGGGGGGGGGGGTCCCACTTAAGCGCACTATCCATGGTGCTATCCACCTGGCTGGCATTAACAGCAGATTCAGAAGCCGGGCTCAAATAATGGGCCCTCCAAATATGGACTCTGAAGCTTAGCACCAGCACCTTAAATAATTGAGGCTGCAAAGAAATGGAGAACTTATGCAGCAGATGCAGAGTCATGGGAGCATTCTAGAGTTGATTTTCCAGCCTGCCTTCAAAAACAGTCGTATAGAGAGAAAATTACAGTAATCCATTCTGGATATAGCTAGTCATGTGTGACTAAAGCCAAATTTACTGTCTCCAGTCTTACCCAGTATGGTTCCCTCCATGTTTTGGACTGCAGTTCTCATCAGCTCTAGCAAGTATGGCCAATGAACAGGAATGTTGGGAATTGTTCTTGCAAAACATCTGAAGAGCATCTAACTGGAGAAGACTGTGCTAGGCTCATGTTGGCAAACCGCCCAAGCTGGTACGAGGCAGTTCTAGCCACCGTTGTCACTTGTATATTCATAAGTAACAGTGATTCTGGGAGTACCCCAAAGCTGTATTCCTGATTTTTCAGGGAGTATAACCCCTTCCAAACTGGTTGTAACACCATCCAGATCTAGCTAAAAGTATTTCTGAGTTGTCCAAATTAAGCCCTATTTTGTCTCCAGTTATTTGAGTAAGAGTTCCACTTTCTCTCTGGACTGCAGCATGGGATGGGGGAGATGCAAAGAGTTCCTCTGTTTCTTCCAGCTGCTTAGTCTTGCTCTTTCTCGGGCCTTAAAACAGTGGGAGAGCCACTACAGCATGTCTTCTTCCCATACTGGGTAACACCAGAAGCTCTGGCCCATGTGAGAGCAGTCTGCAGTAAGCTCCATTGCTCTAGTTTCTGAAGAAGTGGTGCTTGCATGGGAACCAGTCACTTGGAGAGATCCAGGGCATCGGATGTTAGCCAAGCCGTGTGAGAAGCCACGTGCTTAAGTGGAAAGGTAATATCAGAAACCCTTCTGTTTCCACCCAAATCATAAAAGCAAAATCTCTAGTGCTTTCCCTGTGTTTTTCTTTACCGTCAAAATAGCACTTTGGCATTTCTGCAGAAGTCAAGATATGAAAGTGACACACACTGTGGTGGGAGGAGAAATACAAATCTCCAGTTTTGAAATGCACAGAGAAGTGCAGAGTGGAAGAGGGCTGCGCATATACTTCCTATCTCCCTGCATTCCATCGTGTCTTCAGCTCGGAGGCAGCTTGGATTCCATGCTTCTCCTTGGCTGAACTAGAATGAAAGGGAATGAGCTCTGACCTCTAGGAAACCGCATGCCAACACAGCGCAAAAGACCCCTGAGAACATGCAGTGAGCTGAGCTCCTGATCAGCTTGATCTGGTCTGACTGACTGCTCCATGTAAACAGCCTGAGAAAGTGCTAAAAGCAAGTGTTCCCCCTCCCCTTCATTCCATAAGGGTATGAAACCTGGTTTAATAGCTTGGCTTATTCAAGTGTTCACAGAGCCAAGCTAGATCTGTTGTTTGGTTCTGGCTTGGCTCAACCTACAAAAACGTTCCGGCTTCTAGTGATTTATTTTTACAAAGACAAAAGATCCAATAAAGCATATAGATATATACAGAGTTCTCACTTTTGCTTTGCTCACAATTCAGCACCATTGTTTGAGTAGATTGTTCTTGTTTTTTAAACCAAAGGAATAAAAATGCATGGTCAACTGAACACATTCGCAGGACACTGTGGGTGATCAGGACCCAAAAGTAAAATAGTACATGTCTTTGATTTCCATGATTAAAATAATAACACGGATTGAAATAGCCAAGTGTGTGTTTAGAGAAGTTTCCTGTGAAACTTGAGGCTGTTTGAAGGATAAATATAAGCACTCAGAAAAGTGTGCAGGCATCCTTATGCCATTGGCCCCAAGGCAGGAATGAGTGAATTTCAGTCTCCAGTGTGAAGGGCCAGCACAAACATACATTGTTCACTCCCAGCTAGCTTTAAAATCTTCAGGCCCTGTACAAAGTCCTCTGTTGCTTATCCGCTTTCTAAACATGCTGGGCAGCATGCAGGACTTCAAGACACCGCTTTGGCTTATTCAGAGGCCTCGGACACACATTCAATGTTTTCCCCAGTTTGCCATTCTAATACGAAACCTGGGTTGGCATGGTCAGGCAACTGCAAAGGCCCACACTTTGGTGAGGGGCTCACCAATAAGGGACCCCTGTCTCTGTTGCAAATTATCACTCCTTCTGCATGTTTGCTACCCATCCTCTGGACTAGAACAAATGAGCATATGGGTAGCAACAGTTGGTGGTGCCCACGTATTCAGCCTGCATTCGACAGCGTTACTTTATTCAGAGTAGCTGCCTCCACTTTAGCATATATTTCTACCTAGGTGGATAGGAACACCCAATCAGGCAAGACTAACATGAAGCCTAAACACCTCCTCACTATTTAACGTTGGAGTCTTTCTAAGTTCACCACTCCCCTCAGAAACAGGCCTAATAATAACCCACTGAA